CACGGGGTCGTGGCAATTAGAAGTTTGTTGGCCTGCGAAACCATCAGAGCCAGCAACTTCATAACGAATTGTTGTAATAACAATAATGGCGAGCCCCCAGAGTCATGTTTGCCTTTTGGCCGGCACAACAAATCATTTCACATCGCCACATTTCTATTTTCGCCGGGTTCATTAAACCAACTGAGACCCGGAGTGTAACTAAACGCCGCAGCCAAAGATACAGATACAGATACAGATAGAGATAGAGATGGTATAAGGCATATGCGAAGAGTGCTGTTCTCCAGTCGTGGCGACAAGTTTGGCTTCCGTTCTCAGCCCGCTCATTTGTCACCAGCTTACATAACATATTCTGTAGACCCCCTGCTCCTAACTCTTTTTTGTAACTTCACTGAACCCAGCGAAGCGCATCCCAAGTGTCATGGCCACGTTTCTATGGCTTTCCCAGCAGCTCCGCACGATGGCATCTTTCAATTTGTCGCCCGTGTAGTCATAATTGTCAGGTAATCCCGGGTCCCTTTCTTTGTGGCCGTCATGTCTGGATTCTCGCTACATGATCTCCGCGAAATGCGGTAACTCTTGCTTATCTCTCGTATTTCGCACACTGCATGTGCAGTTCACCCTGGGATGATCAGATAATCCCAGCCCGCTGTTTGGCAACACGTACGCAGAAATCGGAAATCCGCTGTAAAATCTGTGGCACAAACTGTTTCCCACAGGCCACGCCCCCGAGTGGAACGTTCTTTCCCAGCCCAGAGAGACACACCTTCCTGGCCAGCCACCTGGTAACGGAAGGTATTGCCAAAGCGCACTTACGGGCCTTCAATTAAGGCGTCTACCTGTCCGTTAAGCCGGTTGAGCCGTCGGTAATGCACGATGTCTGACCTTTCCGAGCTGGGTCACTGTCACCTCCGGCTCCAAGTCGGCTGTTAGCTGGAAGTGATACTGCCGCCAGACACTCCAGAAAACGCCATTAATTGAAGTCAGCCTTTTAAAATATCTGTGGCGTACTCGGGCCATAAGTTTTGAGTAATTACAATGGGTACTCCCTGAAGGTACTAGATTAATTTAAAGTAACTATGCTTTCATTGTATTAATAAGCTGTAAAACAGAACCAGCCAAAATACTTACCCAATCTAAACTATACCCCTGATTTCTCGCGGTGCAGCCATATGACAGCCACTTACCTAACCGCCGTGGTTGGCTGCTTTTCCGGACTTTTCGGCCTGTTGGCAAACACTTAATGTTTTCCTCAGCTCGATTCTCGGGAAGACAAACATGGTCAGTTCGGGTTGGTTGCCCCAGTGTCCGATTCCCTGCAGTACTCCCTGCCCATCAGAGTACTCAGTCTCTGGAAAAAAGGTGCCCAAAAAGTTCTAAGTCAAAATAGCTCCGCCGATGTGTTTATTTATAACAGTGCATAGTCTACTGCAAAGTAAAAATTTCAATTAAGTGCACTGCGAGTGGGGGTTAAATGGCATTTTCCTGGCCACCTGGGAAATGGCTGGCATTCGAGACGCCGCCCCAAGGAAAGTCGCTTTTTGTGTGGGGGCCCTAAACATTTTCCTAGTTGTCATAGTTGAGGTGGAAACTCCCACAAGCAACTGACAAGCCAGGCGATTGTAGATTGTATTATGCACGCATATGGATAACTTATGATAAATTATGTTGGCTGGCAATGTTGCGCCGGTGAAAGTGCCAATTGTTTTGTGCGCGAATTCTTGCCAAAGAGATTTCCTATTCGTTATTAATTGTGGCATTGTGTCTGCCACCTTTTCAGAGCCCGCCCGCGAAGTTTGGAGACCAGAGCCCAAACGCACCGTCATGGAACCCACGGCCACACCCAATATGCTGTAAGCAGTCCCACTGAACTTGCATCTTAGACTCCGCATCCGCATCTGCATCTGATCTGCATCTCACTGACTTCGCATCTGCATCTGTACAAAGCCATTCCATTAACCCACAACCGAGTAACCCGAGTAATCCGCATCTCCAACGCCTCCAGCAAGCAGATCCTGCTGAAGAATCACCAGGACGCTATTCTGCAGCTGCAGGGCCATTCCCCGTCGCCTCCCCTGTCCTTTTGCGCCGCATCGATGGCGGACAGCAGGGAACGCATTCGTGGACCCTCCAGGGATGGCCGCGAGTTCCTGACCAGTCCGCGTCAGGTTCTTCGTCGGCTGATGCTCCTCTCGGAGGGCAGACAGTACAGGGAGGCTGCTGGCGTGGTGGGCAGACTGGGTCCCTCGGTACTCAGATCAGTGATCGCCGAGCTGCCGCTGGACCTGCTGCTGGAGCACCTGCCTCACAGTGCCTACCTTCTGGAGTCTTTCTTTACCAGGTGAGCTATGATTAAATGGTGAATCTTTGAAGTGAGTGCTGAAGCTTTTATCATACGATTACTTTTTTCTATTTAATGTGCACCCAGATTGACCACCTTGAACACCACTCCCAAGCCAGATGTGCCTAGTGAAACGGTGGCCTGGCAGTTGGTGCGCCTGTTCGCGAATCCCCATGAGTCCGGACTCCGGCAGAGATGCACTCGACTCCTGCAGGCCTTGGCTCAGTATGAGCCTGGGTTGCGGCAGACTCTGAGGGAAAGGAGACGCAGCTTCGACAATGCTGTACAAGGTCTCGGGGTCCATGGACTCACCACCGATGCCTCCGGTCAGCTCATTTCCCTACATGTGGCTCTGAAAACGGAGCTGCAGCGCCATGTGGACACCTACAAGATGGCCATTCACAAGCTGGAGGAGCTGAGCATGGTGACGGTCAACCAAGACCCTGCTCACTCCTCCCACCAACGATTGTTGGCCATCAATTACGGCGACATTCAGCAGCGACTAATCGACAACAAGACCCTGCTCACAATGCTGGACAAACCGGCCTTGAAGCAGCTCCAAACGCTGGTCGAGAACCTCAGCACGCGGGTGGAGAACGACAAGGAGGTGCTCACCTGCGTGGGCCAGGTGCGTCGCCTGGACTCACAGGCGCTCGTGGAGAAGCGCCCCGCCGCCGGCCTGCTGATGAACTTCTCCCGCGGCTGCGAGGTGGTGCTCCACATGATGGGCCCTGAGGGAGGTCCTCCGGGCTCCGCCCACTCCATTGGCAAGGCCACTCCCCCAGGCGGCGCCAGCACCAGCAGCTGCAGCGATGGATACCACTCGGATGACTCTGGCAGCGATGACGGCAGGTGAGGAAAGACAAATGAACACAGCTTACACATGTTACAATACCCGACCCGATTCTTACACTTGACCGAGTTCCAATAAGGTGCAACGCCCACATTACGAGATTGCGATCGCGACCGCATCCAACTCTCACCTGCCCACATGCCACACTCCGATTTCTGATTCCATTTCTGTATCTCCACAGCGAAATGGTGTCGCTCTATCGGAATCTCTACGTCGAGAACCGAGCGGACGCCTTGGAGGCGTTGGACAGTCTTCCCCAGATAAAGCACGCGCACAGCCTCAAGGGGAAGATACTCTTCTCCATGATCGTGGTGAGTCTGAAGTACCTAGCATTCATATGCTGTAGCAATCCACATTAGATATGCCCCAACTTTCAATAATGGCTTGTTAAAGAGGCCGAACAAATTTCGAGATTACCTCGATCGGGAGAAATTAGTGCCAATTGTGAGTAGGCCTTCTTTTCACTTTTTTTTTTTTGTTTGTAAAGATATGTTTTCTATTGGGTGTGTTCGCTACCATTTAGTTTTAATGATTTTGTATTATTTAGTATTTAATTTCTTCGCAAAACTTTAGCTGGCTGAAGCAGCCGAGAAAGAATTAGAGATTTAATCATAAGGAGAAATTATTTTCAGTCAATCATTCACATGTCGTTGGAATATAAATCGCTAACAACACAATTTTACTTTTATAATTATCTCCTTCGTTTTCACTTGTCAAGACAGTACAGGCAGTACAGAGTTATTTGTGATGAATGGCGTCAATTTATTATGGGCGTTCATAATCTTTCAGAGTGCCAATTCCATGTCAATAACATTTTAACTCCACAATGCTAAAAGATAATTTGCTATACAATTCTTAAAGCTATTCAAATAGAAAGAAGCTCTTGTCAAAAGTGAACAACGATTGTTTCAAAATTGGGGCGACCTCTTCGAATTGCCATTTGGCAGGTCAATAGCTGATAAACTTGATCTTGAAGTAGCTTCCAGCGCCAGCACTGCTTGCACTGCTTGCTGTGAAATGAGCACAGCACAGTGACTCTCAAACTGTGAGACCAACTCATCCAGCGAAGATTACTTTCAATTTTCAAGTGCTTGGCCATCAATTATATACGCCAAGCCCGTGGGCTCTGGATGCTTCAAATCCTGTCAGACCACAAATTGTGATTGCAAAATATCAATTTTGGCCAATTCGAATTCGCACTATAGGATGATTAGGCAGGTTGGTGCAGTGAAAATGTGAGGGAAAGTGGAGCCCCCAGGGTGCCAGAAAATTACGTAGGCGCTTGGGATTTGAATCGCTTTCGATCTCAGATGAACGACACTATGGCAGGGAAGTGGTACCATCAATACCTAGATTACCTGGCTAAAATAAAAGTCATATATTTTCGCTTTTCAATGATCTCTTTATTAGTTCATCAGTAACTTAACGTCAAATTAGGCATGTTCTTAATAATAATTTGATTAACTTATTGGTACTTGTGTAGCTCTCCTTCCGCCTGTGCCACGGAATGCGGGAGCGGAAGGTCCTGGAAGTTCGCCGAGTCCTGAATTGTCCCTTGGACAGCAGCAGTGAGACCACCTTGTCCCTGGACAGATCCGTTCGCCAGCACCTTTTCGAGACCGCCGAGAGTTTTCCGCTGGGCGAGATCGAGCGGTCGGTGTTCAACCAGGTGCTCTCTACGCTGCACGAGTACCCCTGCCTGGAGTCCTGCCCCCCGCTGACGCACTACGTCAGTGCCTGTGTTCGCCTGGCCTGGCGGATGATCAACCAGAAGGCGCCCTACTACCTGGACATGGACTTCAACCTGGGTGCGTTTTAAGATGCTCTTTAATCGATTAAGAATCCTATATCTACGTGAATTCCATGCAGGCTTCCTGAGGCCCGAGAAACACGAGCGGCATCCCCAGGCGGACCGGCGATCGGATCTGATAAAGGCCTTCCTTTGGCCCGCCCTGATGCAGAACAACCAGTGCGCCTTCAAGGCGGTGGTGGCCACCTGAGGATCGTCTTAAGCTAACCCCATTTGTACATACTTGCCCTCTCTTATGCAATAAAGATTTGCCCCCTACTTAAGCGTAACTGATGGGGCGGAGTTGGACGCACTGACTCCGTACCTTGTTTGTGCAGAGAAGTGGGTGCTGCGTGTAGAAGTCCACAATTTCCGAGGGGGATCCGAAGCAGCGCTCCTGGCACTTCTTCTGCCCTATGGCGTAGCGCTGCCTCCTGTCCACTTGCCTTATGAACAGGTGATAGTACTGATCCGCCGCCCAGATGCTCACGATGTAGCGGATGCACTGGTCGGCTGCCTTGAAAGGACGAACCAGGCAGGACCCGTCCTCCCGTCCATGGAGCATTCGCTCCGCCGTGGGCCGATCCACTGTGAAGTAGTATTGCTCCTTTTCCACATGCCGCTCCTCGATCTCCGCGTAGTTGACGTCGGCATCGTCTGTAACGAATTCAAAACGTAGCATCAGTAATTGGATTTAGATACAGATACATCTTCTAGTAGAGTACGAGTATTACCCTACATTAACGTGTATATATTGTTGAAAACGTAAACTCAAGTTAAATTAAGTTCTAGGAACTCTATCTAGTTGCTTGTTTTTGTTTATATTTTATCACTCTGTGGATTTGGCTTTGTTTTGGAACCACGAGATCGGCGCGTACTCACCCACAATGACGTAATCTTCACGGGGCTGCTGATGTGGATCGTCGTCGGTGCTGAAAACCCGTTCGGCGGCGTCACTTTCCTGACTGGCCTGCCGCTGATAACCGAAGCAGCGGCTACAGAAGCTGGGCGATCTGACTTCCATCAGGCTGTCCATCATGCGAACCAGGAGATTGTGCAGAACCGTCCAGTAGACACGTGCACACCAGCAGCACATGGCGCCAATCGACACAACGGAGCTGTCCTATCCCCGCGACCTTGGATTAGATGGATCGGTGGGACTGGAACCGCCGCTCCCGTCGAACATCTTTCGCTATCGAGCTGCGCTGATGACTGAATACTCTGTGACCAGAACTAGACGAGGAACCACAACCAGCACCCAGAACTCTGAGCCCGAGAACGGAAGCCGAAGTTAACCCGTCTCGTCTGGCGCTGCGTCTTAATTAAAATGTTTTAATGCGCGCTTGTGGGGTGCAGAAATGTCCATATGTAAATAAGATATGGATATGGGGCTGGTAAACAAAATTCACATTGGCAAGAAGACTCACATTGGGGCTCAGATAGTTGGGGATCCAGGGAGTAACTGGATACTCCGAGCGCAATGGGGAGTGCAGATCATCACTATGTTCTTGTACAGATTGAGAAATTCAGTTATATTTTCTCTAATGAATAGATATATTTATTTTGATTCTATTATAGACAACCCCACAGAAAGGACCCACTTTTGAAAGTCCATTAAGAAACGAAGAACAAGTAAGTATACTTAATTGATTGTTTGCAGTGTACGTGCAGCCAACGACAATTATTAAACGTTTAGCACCCATGCCTTTGCCGTTCCCCTCCCCTTTTCAACTGACTGTGGAATTCATTGAGTGTGGCTGCCATTTTCGGTGGGGAGGGGTTCCCCATATCGCATTTCTGTATTTCTGTTGGCTTTACATAACCGAGACCGAATGGAGACGAGTGGCGAACATGTGGATCTGAGGCGTTTGCCCGCTCTGCCAAAAAGTTAAGAATTGGGTTTGTTTTGCTGATGTGTTCCTTTTGTTAATGAGCTGCTGCTAGCGGTGGTTGAAAATGCCCAAGCAATAATCATTGAACAATTTCTAAAATTATAATTCTAAAAAATTGCACATACAGATGACCAAGAAGCTCTAAGCTTGTCTTTTTCTTTATTGGACATGGGCCGTTAGTATAGGTAATTAGCTGCACAAAACAGTTATTGTTTTTGCTATATGTCCATTTTTAGCCAAGAAATGAAGAAAAAACCTTTTGTAAATATCGATTATTTTGTCCAAAACCGTTTTTCCTCATTTTCCGCCCAAAACATTCAGTTTTTTGGTCACTACACTCGAAATAATGCTCCAAAAATGGAATGCCATATCTCGTTGAACTCCTAATTAACTTTCCAATCGATTGGTGTTCAAATTTGGAGACTTTAAATTTTTGCCATTTTTCGCAAAATTTGATGATGTAACCCCTTATCAAAAATGCAAAAAATGCCGAAAAAATAATTTTTCGAAATTTGAAATCACGGGACAGGGGCCGTTAGTATAGGTAATTAGCTGCACAAAACAGTTATTGTTTTTGCTATATGTCCATTTTTAGCCGAGAAATGAAGAAAAAACCATTTGGAAATATCGATTATTTTGTCCAAAACCGTTTTTCCTCATTTTCCGCCCAAAACATTCAGTTTTTTGGTCACTACACTCGAAATAATGCTCCAAAAATGGAATGCCATATCTCGTTTAACTCCTAATTAACTTTCCAATCGATTGGTGTTCAAATTTGGAGACGTTAAATTTTTGCCATTTTTCGCAAAATTTGATGATGTAACCCCTTATCAAAAATGCAAAAAATGCCAAAAAAATAATTTTTCGAAATTTGAAATCACGGGGCAGGGGCCGTTAGTATGGGTAATTAGCTGCACAAAACAGTTATTGTTTTTGCTATATGTCCATTTTTAGCCGAGAAATGAAGAAAAAACCATTTGGAAATATCGATTATTTTGTCCAAAACCGTTTTTCCTCATTTTCCGCCCAAAACATTCAGTTTTTTGGTCACTACACTCGAAATAATGCTCCAAAAATGGAATGCCATATCTCGTTTAACTCCTAATTAACTTTCCAATCGATTGGTGTTCAAATTTGGAGACGTTAAATTTTTGCCATTTTTCGCAAAATTTGATGATGTAACCCCTTATCAAAAATGCAAAAAATGCCAAAAAAATAATTTTTCGAAATTTGAAATCACGGGACAGGGGCCGTTAGTATGGGTAATTAGCTGCACAAAACTGATATTGTTTTTGCTATATGTCCATTTTTAGCCAAGAAATGAAGAAAAAACCATTTGTAAATATCGATTATTTTGTCCAAAACCGTTTTTTCCTCATTTTCCGCCCAAAACATTCAGTTTTTTGGTCACTACACTCGAAATAATGCTCCAAAAATGGAATGCCATATCTCGTTTAACTCCTAATTAACTTTCCAATCGATTGGTGTTCAAATTTGGACACTTTAAATTTTTGCCATTTTTCGCAAAATTTGATGATGTAACCCCTTATCAAAAATGCAAAAAATGCCAAAAAAATAATTTTTCGAAATTTGAAATCACGGGACAGGGGCCGTTAGTATGGGTAATTAGCTGCACAAAACTGTTATTGTTTTTGCTATATGTCCATTTTTAGCCAAGAAATGAAGAAAAAACCATTTGTAAATATCGATTATTTTGTCCAAAACCGTTTTTCCTCATTTTCCGCCCAAAACATTCAGTTTTTTGGTCACTACACTCGAAATAATGCTCCAAAAATGGAATGCCATATCTCGTTTAACTCCTAATTAACTTTCCAATCGATTGGTGTTCAAATTTGGAGACTTTAAATTTTTGCCATTTTTCGCAAAATTTGATGATGTAACCTTATCAAAAATGCAAAAAATGCCGAAAAAATAATTTTTCGAAATTTGAAATCACGGGACAGGGGCCGTTAGTATAGGTAATTAGCTGCACAAAACAGTTATTGTTTTTGCTATATGTCCATTTTTAGCCGAGAAATGAAGAAAAAACCATTTGGAAATATCGATTATTTTGTCCAAAACCGTTTTTCCTCATTTTCCGCCCAAAACATTCAGTTTTTTGGTCACTACACTCGAAATAATGCTCCAAAAATGGAATGCCATATCTCGTTTAACTCCTAATTAACTTTCCAATCGATTGGTGTTCAAATTTGGAGACGTTAAATTTTTGCCATTTTTCGCAAAATTTGATGATGTAACCCCTTATCAAAAATGCAAAAAATGCCAAAAAAATAATTTTTCGAAATTTGAAATCACGGGGCAGGGGCCGTTAGTATGGGTAATTAGCTGCACAAAACAGTTATTGTTTTTGCTATATGTCCATTTTTAGCCGAGAAATGAAGAAAAAACCATTTGGAAATATCGATTATTTTGTCCAAAACCGTTTTTCCTCATTTTCCGCCCAAAACATTCAGTTTTTTGGTCACTACACTCGAAATAATGCTCCAAAAATGGAATGCCATATCTCGTTTAACTCCTAATTAACTTTCCAATCGATTGGTGTTCAAATTTGGAGACGTTAAATTTTTGCCATTTTTCGCAAAATTTGATGATGTAACCCCTTATCAAAAATGCAAAAAATGCCAAAAAAATAATTTTTCGAAATTTGAAATCACGGGACAGGGGCCGTTAGTATGGGTAATTAGCTGCACAAAACAGTTATTGTTTTTGCTATATGTCCATTTTTAGCCAAGAAATGAAGAAAAAACCATTTGTAAATATCGATTATTTTGTCCAAAACCGTTTTTCCTCATTTTCCGCCCAAAACATTCAGTTTTTTGGTCACTACACTCGAAATAATGCTCCAAAAATGGAATGCCATATCTCGTTTAACTCCTAATTAACTTTCCAATCGATTGGTGTTCAAATTTGGACACTTTAAATTTTTGCCATTTTTCGCAAAATTTGATGATGTAACCCTTTATCAAAAATGCAAAAAATGCCAAAAAAATAATTTTTCGAAATTTGAAATCACGGGACAGGGGCCGTTAGTATGGGTAATTAGCTGCACAAAACTGTTATTGTTTTTGCTATATGTCCATTTTTAGCCAAGAAATGAAGAAAAAACCATTTGTAAATATCGATTATTTTGTCCAAAACCGTTTTTCCTCATTTTCCGCCCAAAACATTTAGTTTTTTGGTCACTACACTCGAAATAATGCTCCAAAAATGGAATGCCATATCTCGTTTAACTCCTAATTAACTTTCCAATCGATTGGTGTTCAAATTTGGAGACGTTAAATTTTTGCCATTTTTCGCAAAATTTGATGATGTAACCCCTTATCAAAAATGCAAAAAATGCCAAAAAAATAATTTTTCGAAATTTGAAATCACGGGACAGGGGCCGTTAGTATGGGTAATTAGCTGCACAAAACAGTTATTGTTTTTGCTATATGTCCATTTTTAGCCAAGAAATGAAGAAAAAACCATTTGTAAATATCGATTATTTTGTCCAAAACCGTTTTTCCTCATTTTCCGCCCAAAACATTCAGTTTTTTGGTCACTACACTCGAAATAATGCTCCAAAAATGGAATGCCATATCTCGTTTAACTCCTAATTAACTTTCCAATCGATTGGTGTTCAAATTTGGAGACGTTAAATTTTTGCCATTTTTCGCAAAATTTGATGATGTAACCCCTTATCAAAAATGCAAAAAATGCCAAAAAAATAATTTTTCGAAATTTGAAATCACGGGACAGGGGCCGTTAGTATGGGTAATTAGCTGCACAAAACTGTTATTGTTTTTGCTATATGTCCATTTTTAGCCAAGAAATGAAGAAAAAACCATTTGTAAATATCGATTATTTTGTCCAAAACCGTTTTTCCTCATTTTCCGCCCAAAACATTCAGTTTTTTGGTCACTACACTCGAAATAATGCTCCAAAAATGGAATGCCATATCTCGTTTAACTCCTAATTAACTTTCCAATCGATTGGTGTTCAAATTTGGACACTTTAAATTTTTGCCATTTTTCGCAAAATTTGATGATGTAACCCCTTATCAAAAATGCAAAAAATGCCAAAAAAATAATTTTTCGAAATTTGAAATCACGGGACAGGGGCCGTTAGTATGGGTAATTAGCTGCACAAAACTGTTATTGTTTTTGCTATATGTCCATTTTTAGCCAAGAAATGAAGAAAAAACCATTTGTAAATATCGATTATTTTGTCCAAAACCGTTTTTCCTCATTTTCCGCCCAAAACATTCAGTTTTTTGGTCACTACACTCGAAATAATGCTCCAAAAATGGAATGCCATATCTCGTTGAACTCCTAATTAACTTTCCAATCGATTGGTGTTCAAATTTGGACACTTTAAATTTTTGCCATTTTTCGCAAAATTTGATGATGTAACCCCTTATCAAAAATGCA